GTGGTGATGTCATCGCCCACTCTAACTTTGAGCAAGCCCAGTCTTGTTGCTACTTGCACTGTTTTCTCAACTAAAAATTAACCTTTACACACACATTTTATACCTAAATGGTAGAGATTTTTGTCCTCTTTCAGTTGGTGCTGTTTTCATTTTTAAAACACACACGGTTTTTACGCCAGGTGGCCTAAACCACAACGAGTGCACATAATTGCTCCATTCACCTCCATTCAAACATTCTGATGGATTCTGTTTAAAATCTCAATCGCAGGCTATTTTTAACTCGCCATAAATCATTCAAACTTGATCACAGCTTCACAAAATTTACACCATTCTCTTCCTTAAAATCTTGTGATTCTAACAGTAAAAGAAATATTTCAATACCTCTGGTCATTCTTTCGTAATCCTTATTTATTTGAGGGTATGGATTTCTCTGAAATGAGCAGTTGCACAGAATCAAATGAAGGCTATTTGTAGCTCGCCATAATTTTTTTATTTCTAATCAAACCTTCACAAAATTTCCAGCATTCTCTTCGTTAGGGTCTTCTGCTTCTGACAAAGAAAGAATCATTTGGATATGTCTTACGGTTCTTCTATAATCTTTATTTGTTTGAGGCATGGAAATTGAATTTTCTCCAGCAGATTTGCCATCATTTGAATATCTGACAGTTGAAACTGGCAGTTTCAACAGCTGGCCCTTTGCAGCAGCTGCACTTGATTACTAATAAGTAGGTCAAAGGTGTCTCATTGACTTTTTAATGGCCCATTGAAATGAATGGAGCATGAATCCCATAGATCCTGTTGTGAAAGAGCTTCTGTAATTGATTGACACTGGAAAGTCATACTAGAAATAAAGCAGCAAATCACTTATCCAGCCAATCATTCCTTGTGATTTAACATAAAATAATTAAGCCACACCCACTTTTTTTACAAAACTATCGATGTCAAATATCTTCTGAACGGAACACAGTAGAGACATGGGGGTTGCTTTATATTATTCTAAATGGAAAGTAGATTACAACATGATGTCACTTACTCCTCCATAGCAACCAGACTGGTTACCATAGCAACCAATATGGCATGTCTCTGTCTCAGCTTAGGAAAATCATAGAGAGATGGGGGTTGCTGTATTTTACCCGTATAGATATGGGGAGCAATATATTAAGTCAGCGACCCCTCCATAGCAACCAGACTGGTTACCATGGCAACCAATATGGCGCAGCTCTATCTCAGCTGAGGAAAGTCATAGAGACATGGGGGTTGATGTATTGACATGGGGAACAATGTGTTGGGTCACTGACCCCTCCATAGCAACCAGACTGGTTACCATAGCAACCAATTTAGCATGTGCCTATCTCAGCTCAGGAAAATCATAGAGACATGGGGGTTGCTGTAATTTACTTGTATTCATATGGGGAACAATATATTAGGTCAGCGACCCCTCCATAGCAACAACACTGTTACCATAGCAACCAATATGGCGTATCTCTATCTCAGCTTACGAAAGTCATAGAGACATGGGGGTTGGTGTATTTTACTCGTGTTGACATGAGGAACAATATGTTAGGTCACTTACCCCTCCATAGCAACCAGACTGGTTACCATAGCAACCAATTTTGCATGTACCTTTCTCAGCTTATGAGAATCATAGAGACATGAGGGTTGGATTATGTTGTTGTTGCGGAATTGACAACATTTAAAAAAAAGGTATTAACGGCACCAACGCAAGCCAACATCGAAGTTTGCGTGCAAACTTTAAAATCTAGTTATTCTTCTTCTTCTTCTTCTTCTTCTTCTTCTTCTCTTTTCCTACGTCAAAATTTTACAGAGCTTCTCCTCCTAGCCCGTTCGAGCTACAGCCACGAAACTTTCCACGGTCATCCAAGCTGTTCCCACTCGAGTTGCTATGTCTTTTCGGACCGATTTGACCAGCGGTTTCCGTAAAAATCGCCAATTTCGGCCCAAAAATCGCCCAAGTCATTCCCTATGGGGGCCCTAGAGTGGTGATGTCATCGCTCACTCTAACTTTGAGCAAGCTCAGTCTTGTTGATACTTGCACTGTTTTCTCAACTAAAAATTAACCTTTACACACACATTTTATATCTAAATGGTAGAGATTTTTGTCCTCTTTCAGTTGTTGCTGTTTTCATTTTTAAAAAACACACGGTTTTTACTCCAGGTGGCCTAAACCACAACGAGTGCATATAATTGCTCCATTCACCTCCATTCAAAAATTCTGGTGGACTCTGTTTAAAATCTCAATCGCAGGCTATTTTTAACTCGCCATAAATCATTCAAACTTTATCACAGCTTCACAAACCTTACACCATTCTCTTCCTTAAAATCTTGTGATTCTAACAGTAAAGGAAATATTTTAATGTGTCTTGTCCTTCTTTCGTAATCCTTATTTGTATGGAGGTATGGATTTCTCAGAAATGAGCAGTTGCACAGAATCAAATGAAGGCTTTTTCTAGCTCGCCATAATTTTTTTTATTTCAAATCAAACCTTCACAAAATTTACAGCATTCTCTTCGTTAGGGTCTTCTGCTTCTGACAAAGAAAGAATCATTTGGATATGTCTTACGGTTCTTCTATAATCTTTATTTGTTTGAGGCATGGAAATCGGATTTTCTCCAGCAGATTTGCCATCGTTTGAAAATCTGACAGTTGAGTCAGCTGACTCGTTTGAAAATCTGGCAGTTGATAACTCCAGGTGCAAGCTGATTTCAAATAAGTAGGTCAAAGGTGTCTCATTGACTTTCAATGGCCCATTGAAATGAATGGAGCATGAACCCCATAGATCCTGTTGTGAAAGAGCTTCTGTAATTGATTGACACTGGAAAGTCATACCAGCATTAAGGAAGCAAATCACTTATCAAGCCAATCATTGCTTGTGATTTAACATAAAATAATTAAGCCACACCCACTTTTTGACATAACTTTCGAGGTCAAATATCTTCTAAACGGAACACAGTAGAGACATGGGGGTTGCTTTATATTATTCTAAATGAGAAGTAGATTACAACATGATGTCACTAACTCCTCCATAGCAACCAAATTGTTTACCATAGCAACCAATATGGCATGCCTCTATCTCAGCTTAGGAAAATCATAGAGAGATTGGGGTTGCTGTATTTTACCCGTATAGATATGGGGAGCAATATATTAGGTCAGCGACCCCTCCATAGCAACCAAACTGGTTACCATAGCAACCAATATGGCACAGCTCTATCTCAGCTTTGGAAAGTCATAGAGACATGGGGGTTGATGTATTGACATAGGGAACAATGTGTTAGGTCACCGACCCCTCCATAGCAACAAGACTGGTTACCATAGCAACCAATTTTGCATGTACCTATCTCAGCTCAGGAAAATCATAGAGACATAGGGGTTGCTGTAATTTACTCGTATTCATATAGGGAACAATATATTAGGTCAGCGACCCCTCCATAACAACCACACTGTTACCATAGCAACCAATATGGCGTATCTCTATCTCAGCTTACGAAAGCCATAGAGACATGGGGGTTGGTGTATTTTACTCGTGTTGACATGGGGAACAATATGTTGGGTCACTGACCCCTCCATAGCAACCAGACTTGTTACCATAGCAACCAATTTTGCATGTACCTATCTCAGCATATGAGAATCATAGAGACATGAGGGTTGGATTATGTTATTGTTGCGGAATTGACAACATTTAAAAAAAAAGGTATTAACGGTACCAACGCAAGCCAACATCGAAGTTTGCGTGCAAACTTTAAAATCTAGTTATGTTGGCTTGCTTGCAAAGCCAACATATTGATATTGCACTTATTATTATTCTTCTTCTTCTTCTTCTTCTTCTTCTTCTCTTTTCCTACGTCAAAATTTTACGACGCTTCTCCTCCTAGCCCGTTCGAGCTACAGCCACGAAACTTTCCACGGTCGTCAAAGCTGTTCCCACTCGAGTTGCTATGTCTTTTCGGACCGATTTGACCAGCGGTTTCCGTAAAAATCGCGAATTTCGGCCCCAAAATCGCCCAAGTCATTCCCTATGGGAGCCCTAGAGTGGTGATGTCATCGCTCACTCTAACTTTGAGTAAGCTCAGTCTTGTTGATACTTGCAATGTTTTCTCAACTAAAAATTAACCTTTACACACACATTTTATATCTAAATGGTAGAGATTTTTGTCCTCTTTCAGTTGGTGCT